AAGAGCGATGGCCTCCAACCTAAGAGCGATGGCCTCCAACCTAAGAGCGATGGCCTCCAACCAAAGAGCGATGGCCTCCAACCAAAGAGCGATGGCCTCCAACCTAATAAAGGTGGAAATCGCCTTTGGCTCACCTTCAAGTGCGCACGACCCAGGTCCCCTGAGCGTGCGCGCCAAGGCCGTGACAGGCTTCCAGGCCTTGGAGCACGGATCTGAAGTCGTCGACACCTCGTATCCCTGACAGTTTGTACACAACGCAAATAGAGATCCGAAACTTGGTAAAATACGTTATATGTTTAAATGTTGTTTTAGTTTAAATTCACAAGGAAAACAACACATGTTGTAATTGGGTGAATGATTCAAGAGCTGAGGTCAATGCTCGGGTGGGGAAATCAGCCCTGGATGTTTTGCAGGGAAAAGCTCATAGAAAGCTGTGAAGGATCAAACGCGAGGAGCAGCGGGCAGAAAGACTGGCACCGCTTGGCTAGCATCCTTGAGCAAGCTTTCTTCCTTCAATATTCCCAAGAGTGGGCAAACCATCCTTTTTGCATGAGGGCAACTTCATCAGGGAACAAGTAGTCCTGCTTTGCAAATACCCTGTACCATCTGTACCATGCGATACCATACCACCTACACCCCACCTCACAGGCCTCGGTCATTGTTGATGGACAACAGTCTGCGCCATTCCGAGCCACCAGGTGTTTCGGCCGTGTGAGATCATCCTCACCAAGACACAGCCGCTGACTGCCCGATAGCTGCAAGCCCTGGCATGAGAACAGTCGGCAACACCGGGTTGAACAGGAAACATCGCTTCTTGCAAAGTCTAGGGCCGACGACGAGCATCGGCGTTCTTGTTGGTGGTGTTGATGTCCAGTTGCCGGTGATATGATTCTATAGATACCGTTCAAGATTACCTGTCCACATCCAATTTACCACCGACCTGGCCATCAAGCTTAAAATGTTGGACACATTTGCATGGATTGCCCCGAGACGCAGTAGGGATCTGGGCAGGAAGCTCGTCCTCTGGAATCTCTCTGGCGCCTGAAACCTACTCACCTGTTCGCTTCTCAATTGCTCTTTCTCTCTGTTTGGTGTCAACCTCCTTGTATCGAATTGTTCTACCCCCTTTAATTAGCTTCAACTGTCTTTTCATTGAACACCGGGTCCCTGTGAGATACATGCTATATGTATATATAGCATTATATACAGTGTAGATAATCTAATAAGTTAATAACTTATTAGATTATCTACTGTTTGATGATGACTTCCTGACACACTTCTGTAACTTTTTCACCCCTTCAGCGGAGGCGAGCTTTGCAGGACGCGTTTCGAATCCTCCGATTCAGCCCAGCGTCGTCCAAACAGCTTGGCCAACTCAGCCGTTGACCGGCCTTCTTTGGCTAGTTTCGACTTCGGAGTTTCTTCTTGGGCTGCGGTTCAAGCTCTTCATCGTCAGAATCATCCTCAAAATCATCATCCTCATCTTCGTCGTACGGAACCTCGTCGACCACCAGGCTCTGTGTCTGCTGGGGCTCTGGTTCGCTGGCACTCAGGCGCTGCCGGACCAGGTCAATGTCCTTGATCTTGTCCCTCAGCTCAGGGCTCTGATCGAAGAACTCAAAAATAACAGATTGAGTCTCCCTGGGCACAAGCTTGAACTCCACCGGCTTCTCACCAACGAAGGTGAGAACCAATTCAAAGGTGCTCTTCCGCAAGAGACTATCCTAAGTCTTTGACTGCCAGGGCTTGAAAAAATATTCAAAAAATGAGCAAAGATTCATCAGCTTGATAGGCGAACCTACTATTGAGAGGGGTTTTCGGTTTTCTTCAGCAGAGCCTTCATTGAGGAGCCGAGTGTCCTTAAATTCGACAACCTCCAATCTTGAGTATGGCCTCCAGTACATGGGCTTTGGCACGAACAAGAGCTGCTTCTGGAAGAAGAACAAATGCCCACTGTCCGTTGCAAAGGAGCATGGTACACTGCTTGTATTGTCAGGCACCCTGAAGCGGTCAGTTGGTTTGATCACGTTCTGTCCACTCAATTCTTTTAGGAGAGCACCCACTGCTTCGAAAGTTGGCACCTCACCCTCCTCAAAATCCTTGGGTCTTGTCTTCTGAAGGCCGTTGCCTTTGGCCTTCTGCCAAGCCTCCTCCGGCACGCTGATGCTGGCATCTGATGTTGATGAGATCTCTATCTTCATTCCAATCATGTCATACTGCATGTTGCCATTCCTCAAAGGTGGCATGACACCAACAGCCAACATCTTGTGCCTCTTATCTGGCAGATCCACCTGCAGGATCCTCTTGATGCTTGACCACTTCACCAAGTATGTCTGGCTCTTTCCACGGATAGTCAGCATCTTGGGAAAGAACTGCAGATCGTGTTTGCCTGATGACAGTTTCTCGCTCTTCTATTTTCGCAACGATCGCATGTGTACAAACCCTGTACCCAGATCAACAGTCTCGGGGGTTGCGATGCATGTTTGCAAGTGACTTGTGTCGAAGTGTCGCCTCGGTATGTTGAACCATGTGGGTGTGTCTTGAAAAAGGGAGTCCTCCAACACCAAGGTGTTCATCCATGCTCTTCTTCAAACAGGTCTTTGGGAAGTCTCGCTTCTTTTGAGACAGACCCATGTGCAAAAAGAACCAAGTAAAACACAGGGACTTCAAATGCTGTCACTATCAAACTTATGACCTAGCTGACTCACTTCACTGCAAACACATTCCGGAGATGAACTCATCCGTACCTCGTGGCACCACCAAGCCGATCTCCTTGAAATCCCCCAGCATCAAGCCCGCAGAATCCACATTGGTCAGCTGCAGCAATTCCTCCCGCCAGACCTCCGCAAAGCTTCCGCCTTCACTAGTGGTAGGTACGAAGAGCCGTAGCCCTTGCAAGACCTTGTCAAGGATCAAAAATCAGAGAGATGATCACTAAATCTGACAAGCGCATGGAATGGGCCTCACCCTCCGAGTCCTGCAACTCTACGTTCAACTCATGCTTGCCAACCTGAAGAATGCAGCCGATGTCGTCTAATGCAACGGACAACTAGGGAAAATGATGTCTAAGTCTTATTTGTTTCGCAGGTTCTAAAGTTTACATGGTGTGTCAGCATAAGATGCGGAATTCGATGGAAACCCCGTGGTTGAGTGTTCGCCAAGTTTGGAGCAAAACAGGTTGTCTACGATCTCCAAGTGAGTTGCGATCCAAACAACACCTTACACAACTCAGCTAGCTCAAAGGAAAGCAAAGGAGACTCCAGGAAGTGCGAAAAACCTGCGGCGAGCCACGGTGGTGACCTGACTGAGCTCGCTGATGTCAACTTCCATGACCAATTCGGATGGCCCTGCACTCAGGCGCACTGAGGCCTCATCCTTGATGTCCATGTCACCCCAGGACCAACCTCCAGGGGAGTATTTATTCGGATGTACCAGTATCTCTTGATGCAGTGGTAGGGTGAACATATTTCACGAGGCTTCCATGAACTGTGCTTGAAGACAGTGAGTTGCCCAACCCTGCAACCTTTCATCGAAGGGCTGTATTCCTCAGCTGTACAACCACCGGGGGCCATCAGTCTTTGAGAACTTAAATTCCTTCCCAAAGTCTCTGTGGGGTCTGGGATTTTTCGGGCTGCGCGAGGCAGATCCGCCGCTGGTGGGTTTTAATAAGTGGGTAGATTATGAGGTTAGTCCGTTAGTCCATTGACCTGGAAGCTGGGTTTGTGCATTTGTTTCATAGGGATCATATCTGAGTGAACTATATATTTACGTTTGATTATACATGTGTCATCATGTGTGAACTGCTAAAACCGAAACGGTCCTAATGGTCCTTATCTGAGAGTCTTGCAGCTTCACCTTGAAGAAGCGCTGCAGATGCTCCCGAATCCTTTCCAGCTCGCTGGCCTCGAAGTCTGCGAAGCGAGCAATTTCCCGCTCGGAAGCGGGGCTATTGAAGCGAAGCTTCAGCAGTCCGTGACCGCCACCGCAGGATGAGTGCCATTCAGCAGACTGAAGATCTTTTCCATTCCACCTTGGAGTTCGTAAGACTGCTGAAAAAAATCAGAAAGAATAATTAGAAAGAAAAGCTCTGAAGCTCTACGACACAACCCCAAAAAGATATTGAAGTCAAAACCAAATTAAGCAAGGCCTGGTCACTGGTGAGCTTTGGAGACATGACCACCCCCCGCGCCCTTCCATGCAAGCTGTTGCTCGCCCATCTGGAATGCCCCCATTCCAGGCTTGCCCACGTATCTGATTGACTGGACCGTCACCTGCTGCGGTGCCATGGCTGAGGATCAGCAGATGAGATGAAGAGAAAAGAGAAGAAGAGTGTCTAAGCATATCAGGAGCTTTCGTGCAAACAGCACTTAGGCTTGGATGGGCTGCATGACTTTTCACTGACAGGACTGACAGGAATTCAAGCTGCCAGGCTCTCCCAGTTCTGTACATTTTGGCTGAACTTAAGCTGGTTCACTTGTCTTGATACACGATATGATCCCAGATTGAGCCAAGACCGCCCGCATCGCCCGCATCACAAACACACCCGGAGTCCATGCTGGCCCGCCTCCCACACGCAGTTTGACGATTGTGCTAAACGCTACGAACTGTCCGGACCCACCTCATTTCCTCAGGAACGGGTGGCTATCTTTCCTTTTTATTCCCAAACGAGGCATTCGCCAGTCCTCAAATCAGGTCTAGTCTACTTAGGGAAAGAACTACATTATGATCCTTCCACCATGCATGGCGTAAGGTCATGTAAGGTCCGAGTAACAAAGCAACCAGTATGTCCGAGACAATGCTGGGTTTCTCCCAAAAAGATCTAGGATGCAAATCAATCATCGGCTCTTTTGCGTCCAAGCCTAGCAGCTTCCTTGCTACTACAAGTAGAAGCAACGAAAAAGATACACTACTAGCTAGTTGTTAGCTCTCCTCACGGCTTCCCCCAACAAAAAACAATACAGTAACATTAAACATATTCAGAGACATACAAAGTCTTCAACAAAGAGCCCTTTCAAAACGCCTTGGATCTTGGACTCAAGTACCCCGTAGCAAGGGTTATGTCGGTCATGTGAGGCAAAGACCTAAGGTCGCCGAATAGCGCCTTCCAATGCCATCCATGTGCCCACATGCCTGCAACCCGGGTGGTGGCGCAAGCGCCCGGCCACGGCCCATGCCACGCCCAAGGAAGGGGCCCTGATCGACAGTTCGAGTCTGGCAATCGAGTGCAGCATGTTACTAGTAGCGTCCTTGCTCCTAGTAGGGATGCCCTTTGTTCCTAGTAGCGTCCTCTTGTTCCTATTCACGAAATGTCTGGCAACAAGTTGCTTATCCTGTCAAAGATCGGGCACGCCCGCAGTAGTGTAGTGCAGTTGAGGCTAAGATCCCATCGGATTGGCTCAAGTGCTCGCAGCAGAAGGGTGAGTGATGCAGCCAGTCACACGGTGTTGCTGTTGCCAGGGCCATTTTGCAAAGAGGTGTAATTCGCTATTGTTCACCACACAAGGTGGGGTATCTGCAGATCTGACCAAATCATATCAAAAAGACCTGAGACAAAACGCCATCTTGATGTGGCTTGATTTTTGGTGCTACAAGTTACAAGTTCCTCAGAATCCTCAGAAAGGATTCTTAGCCAACCTGGCACACCTTGAAACACCCTCAAATCTTCCTTGCGGACTTACAAGATGCTCCTCGCCTCTAAGAATCGTCCCATCGGTCTGCCTCGTCGACATGTCAAATCGGTTATGGCTCAGAAAGGATCTTTACTGTAGTCATAGTACAGCCTTAGTCAAGTAGATTGTATCTTGAGGACAAAAAGCTCACGTCAAAGTTGGCAAGGGTGTTCTGCAAATATGCCTTCTTGCATCTACAAATTCACTTCGGTATTGCATGGTATTGCTATAAATGTGCTATGATATCTGGGGAGGGAGAGGACCAATTGACAGTGCGTTGTTTGAGAGGATGATTCATGCACTTTCTGGCATGTTGGGTGAAACTACTGTATATAGTCCAACACAAAAAGAGGTATATCTTAGATCCAAGGTGTCATGTTTCCAATATCAATCTTTGAGAAGTCTTACACCATCTAAGAATCACAAGAGCTCAAGATGCGTCCCAAGCGCAGCTCGGAGGTGCTTTTTTTGTAAAGAAGAAGACCGCGGGCCTCGCCCGAAGCCGCGGTTGGCTTCCACAGACAGGCCTGGGAAGAAATCCTCCTCGGAGCACGGCATATGGCCATGCCAAACAATGACAAGCTTCAGTCGTGCCTCAAAAGCTGAGGGGAAGCAACTTGGGACCAATTTGTTTCGCAACATGAGGCGACCTTGGGATCCCCAATCCAAGAACAAACAAAACTGATCAGTTTGACTCTCTTTTTAAATCTGTTTAAGCTTTTAGGAACTCCCTGGAGCCTCCTCATCATCAGCTGCTAGCCGCTCCTGTCGCTCCTGTCGCTCCTGTCGCTCCTGCTCCAGTGCGAAGCTCACGGATGCTCATGGGAAGTCGACTCGTTTCGACGGTTGTGGGTCTCAAAGTGGATTAAGAGCCATGGCTTCCAACCTAGCAGCAAAAGGAACCTAATAGCAATGGCCTCCAACCTAATAGCGATGGCTCCAACCTAATAGCAAAAGGAACCTA